TTTAAGCTTTGTCCAATACACCTTGCCATTTAAGGAAGAAAGTCACCACTTCTATTTTAAAAAAGCAAGATTTATGCAAAGTCAACTTGTCTTGATCTTTGAACTTATTCTTTATGCATACACAACATATATAAGTCATAAGCAAGCTTGTTTAAAGTCCAACCACTCTACAATAGCATGGTACAAGCTTCTGGAAGATGTTTGTCATGGTTGCTTCAAAAACAAGTAAAGGTGTTACAACTTGATAATTCAAATTTTGACTTGTTGTAGCACACAAAACCTCTTGCCTATAAATACATACTCTATTTGCAAGCTAACACACGATTTCACAAGCCTTAAAACTCCCTCAAACTCCCCAAAACCATAAATTGTAAATCAAGCACAAAAACTTGCCATTTTTTATTTCTAAACCCAATCTCTCAATCCACTCGTGCGTTCTTTGGTCTTTTGCTTCCAAAAGCTTCTAAACACCATCCATAAACAATCCCAATACATGTTTGCAAACTGTAACACCATTTACACCATCCTCCATTTTCAAAAATAGAGTTTGCATCTTGACTTCTCCAGCTTGATTCAAGAACTCTCAACTCAAAGTAACCATTGGAATAACTTCCTGGAGGTTCAAGGAAGCTAACCCAATCATCACCATAACTTAAAACAAGCTCAAACTCATTTCACGATTTCCAGTTTTTAAGATATTTTTCTGAACTTTCATCTCTTCATTTAGGAATTGTTAGGCTTCCGTTTTCAAAGACAAAATATAGATATCATTGCCCTGAAACTGTACATGTCCATAGTTTTCATTTATATTGACTGAGTAGGGAGAATTTTGAGATTGAAATTTCTGGAAAAATTAGGGTTCAGATTAGGGCCAACAAAATTCTTGCTTATCTTTGATTTATAGTTTAAGTGGTTTACATTTCTGGAATCGTGAGGAAAAATGGAACAACTTTCATGTTTGCAATTTTAATTTTCGTTGAGAAATGAGCAAGATATAGGTGGTATGGCTGCCGTGAGGTTGAAGATGCAGTTCAGGCCATGAAAGTGTTTTGTATTGTATATTTATGGTTTTTTTATACACGAGATGTATAGCCATCCCAATGGTAAGACAACACGCGTATTATGTTGAGGGCATGAGTTCAAGCCACAACGCTGCCACTTTTCACAACTTTTCACTCTTTTCTTTCTTCTTTTTTTGCTTCCATACATGCGCGTTGGGCCTTTGAGGCATTGGGCCTCTCTTTTTGCTTCATTCTGACCCCCATGATTACTTTACAACGCGCAGGCCCAATGTTTTATTTTTATTTCTGTTCTGATTTCAAACAAAAACCTTAATGGGTCAGGCCTAGTACCAAAAACAGTTTTACTTCTAATAAACACCTCAAACCTGACTTTTACCCCCTGACCTTCTTTATTTATTTTATTTTCTTTTCTTTTTCCTTTTATTTATTATTATTAATATTATTATAATATTTATGTTTATTAATAAAAAAGACAAAACATATTTTATTTATTATATACTTATTTTATTTTTGAAGACAACAAAAACACCAAAAAAAAATTTATTACAATTTTTTTTAGTCAATTAATAATTAGATTAGGGTTTTATTTATTTATTTTCCTTTTTTAATTAAAATCAACTTAGAATTATAGGTTTTTATTTTAATTAATTAATTTCTTTTTTTTTTCATACCATTTAATTAATATTAAAATCTTTTCTAAAAAAAAACCTAAAAAATGTTTCTTTATTTAATTTAAGTTTATTTTCTCATTTTAATTAATTATTTTTCCTTTAGTTAGTTAAGGTCTTAACAAAATCTAAAACAAAATCCATTTCCTTTTCCATTTATATCCTTGTACATTTAATTCTTATAAATATTCAATATGGTTGTAATAGATAATTAGAATTTAAATTCTCGCAATCCCCATTTGTAAATATGTATACCCCATCCCCAAATGATGTAATAGCGTATGATATTTATTTTTCGCAATTTATCGATTTCATATAAATGCTAGTAAATTAGGGTTTGTATGGAAAGATAAAATCAACACTAGAAAATCCTAATTCAAGACAAAATTATGCATGAAATCAAAACACTTGCACACTTGCACCTCTAGGTTTAACTTCACTTGTTGCCTTAATAAATAAATAGTGATGATATGCATGTGAGACATCTTAGTAAAAACAATAAAAAATGTAAGATCATTGTCCCTCGATGATGCTACGAATGTTGCCTTACAAATGATCTTAGTCCCTTAAGAGAAATGCTAAGATATCTCACAACATTGCTATCCATGACTATACGATGACTCATGCCCGTCCCTTTACATCTAAAGATAAGGCTTCTTACCAATCAATGATAAGATAGAAATATCAAAGGAAGAGAGAAATGAACAAAAGACTTTTGAGTAGGTAGAACGTTCTTAGTTACTTGCTCACAATCCATCTTCAAAACAAACATCTTTTCAAACACACTAAACACTTTCAAAAAACATAAAATATTTTCAAAAGTTCAACACTTTGTATGCATTCTTATAGAGATGAGAATCATTACAAAGTTTTCCTAAATGAATGCGCTTTTCAAAAATACTTTCAAAACCCACCACAAACACATTTCAAACAAAGCAATTTCAAAAGTGATCTAGCAAGAAACTAAGAGCCCGTAGATAACTACAGATGAAAAGGGTGCTAACACCTTCCCTTTTTATAACCTACCCCCCGAACTCAAGAAAATATCTCAAAGGTCTTTCCTGTTCTTTTCACCCTTTCCTTTATTGGATAAAAGAAAAGTCGGTGGCGACTCTTGCTATCCATAATATTTGTGATAAAACTCAAAACACTCAAGTCAGTTTTCCCACCGTATTACAACTGTTTTATCCATTCTTTGTGGGTTTTCTCGATCTTTTCCCTTTCCTTTTCGGAATAAATAAAATTCGGTGGTGACTTCATTATAAATCTTTGAGCGTGCGAATGCTCGATCATTTTCTTTGTGTTGCGACACTATGGTAGGGATTGGGAGCGAGAGGTTGCTTCTAGTGGGAATCAATGAAGAGTTACCTATGGTGATGGTAATGATTTTTGTGTGCTCTTGTTCTAAGAGGGAATCTGATTTGAGTTATTGTCATGAGTCGCATTACATAAATGAGTTATATGCTTGATTATGATTATATATGATGTTATGTTAGGTGTGAGAATATGATTATGTGATTAATGTGTAACATGTGTAGATATTTATATTCTACCTTACAGCTTATGTCATTTAATTTATTAGTGAATTTTCACCCCTTCACTTTGATGTTGTCCACCATGGACATTTTGCAGATATTCGGGAGTATAGTTTACTGTTGTGAGTGAGAAATAACTCTTGGAGTTATTTTCATTAGTTTATCGCATTTTTAGTGGTTTAATGCTCTGATTCTGTAACACTAGGTTGGCGAACAATGTTATTCTATTATTATGTTTCTGTTAAGTGAGAGTTGGATGTTATACTCTCGACATTTTGAATTATGTTGATTGGAGCCTCTTGCCATACCTGTTTTAATTTCAAACGAAGTATTTTATGAGACTTAATAATTTTGAAGCATGCTTATTTGATGAATTTCGCTGCGATGATACCCTAAGGTAGGTGAGCATGCGATGACATGTGTACTTGAATGTTTTATTTTAAATGATAAGTTTTATAGAACAGGTGTTGTCTGATGACGTGTGGCATCCTTAACATGCATGTGTGATCCATATTTGATTTATTTTATAATTTGACGGGTAGGGAATTTAGGGTGTTACAGTCTCAAACTCATAGGCTGGGACGAGCCTAACTTCAACTTGTGGGTGGCCAAGTCGAATAAATTGATACCCTACGGGTCTTATTTTGCTTTTGCCAACAATGTGAGGATGTCATTCAGGATAATTTCTTTGATCTGCCTTGCTTCCCCAACGTCAACAATGGTCACAATTGGTCTTCCTTCCATATCATGGTATGCTATCTTGATATGGGCAAGGGAAGCCACAACATCTAGCTTCGCCAAGAAGGATCTCCCCTAGATACCTTTAAATGCACTTCTACACGGAATTATAAGGAAGTTAATGGTTACCTCTCTCCCACATGTTCATTCTCCCAATAACAACATCATATCTACTGCGACGCAAGGACGAGTCACCGAATCATTGGAGGCCAACAGATCTGCCTTGCAATATGGATCCAGATTTGGCTTTCGGAGGCCTAATTGCTATAACGTGTCAATATAGAGGATGTTGCAGAAGCTTTCATCATCTACGAGGAATCCCGTCACATTGTGATCAACGAAGATGACAACTAGGATCAGCGAAAGTTCAAAGTTCCAACGATCTTATCACGATCCAAAAATCCTATTGCAAATCGATCTTTTGCTGATCGAAAATACTTGTCACTAGCGAAAGAAACTCTGGCAACAAACCGACATTAGATATTGTTATACTATTGATCTAATCCATATGTGATAATTGGTGGAGGATTGAATCACAAAATTCGAAGGATCTTTTTGACATAAATAATGAAGATATTGTTTCCATTCTAATGTTTTCGATAGAGAGTTGGTTTTAGATAAAAAATGGTCTGCTTGTGGAATCTCACATGAACTAAAAGTTGGTTCCTATATACGGTGCCATTGTTCTGTTCTGAAACCAAAAATTAGATGTAAACTAGTGATGAGAAATTTTAAATCGATAGTGTTGATCTCTAATATAGTAGTGCATGATAGATATGCAAAATTAACACGTCCAGACACAAGTCAGTCTAAAATTCAAGAAAAGTATAATAAAAGTGAAAATTGAAAAGCATGCCTTCTATTTTGGATGAAATGACTTTTTATAAAGAAAAGTAATATATATTGAAAGAAGCACTAGGGGTGCTCAACCCACCGTTTTCCCCTTGTGGTTTTATTCATTCTCTGCGGTCCCATTTTCTGGTTTTAGTTTTGTGTGCGATTCTATTCTCTTCCCATTCGTTACTTTCGCTTTCACCATGGCTTCCTCTACTTCCCTTTCTCTCACTCCCTCTTCTCACCTTCAATTACCGTTATTTTCTTCTTCTTCTTCTTCTTCTATCTCTTCACGCCTTAATCCCCTTCCTTCATTTTCCTCCCATTCCGGAATCACCCACAAACCCCTTCACCTTCACCTTCAAAACCCTCTTCTTTTTCCCAAAATTCGCTCTCTGCTTCAACAAACCAGAGGTATTTCTTTCCTTTATTCTTTTGCCCGAACTTTCTAATAATAAATAAATAAGGTTTCATCTTTCGAATCAAAAACAGATAAACGCGAGACTTGAATTAATTAGGTTTTATTTGAAACAAGGATCAATATTGTATTTGTTATTGTGGATCCAAGATCCAAGATCAAGATTGTATTTTTTTTCTTCCTGATAAGTGTTCGCGTAAATGAATATGCATATTCATCAAAATTGATGTCATAAAATCTTTAATCATTTGGATTGAGGTTTAGTTATGTATTTCTTGTAAGTTGTAACTATAGATTAGGAATATCATAAACCTAAAGATTAGTTTGATCTTTGTTCTGATCCGCCTCAAGTCCTTGCCACTGCGGCTATGAGGTATTGTCAGTTTTGAATGTGAGAACCCAGGTGTCTTGTTGGGTTGAGGCGTATGGTTGTTGTATATAAATGTTTCATTTTCAAACTTCATTTTGTTTGAATTTGTTCATGAAAATGGAACCTAACATTAGGAACATAATTTTGCGTCTGTTAGGTTTTTCGTCTAAGCCAACACCACCGTGCGTCCAAGCTGATGCTACAATTTGTAGCTTCTAAATATTGCGGTGGATTAGACAGTTAAACGTGTGCTTTATCAAAGTAAAAAATAAAAATTAGGAGTGAGATAACACTATGTCCCTCTGCTGCTACAGAAAAGGCTAAGCCGCCTAAGCATCAATCGCATGGAAGGGGTATTTGAAATAGTTTGTGTTTTTCAATGAATAACAGTTTTTTCTGTCTACTGTCATTAACTAAATTTCTTGCTTCAAGCAGGAATTTAAGTGAAAATATTTCACTCGGTGCAAGGCTTGTGCCAGTTCTCTGGTTTTAGTTTTGTGAATTTTGCAATGTAAATGAGTATTAAACTTTGAATCACTGGTTAGACTTTTAATTTATATGAGTTTGTTGCCTGGCAGCTACACCAGTTAACAAAGACCTGTGGGATAACTCGATTCTGAAAAGTGAGACTCCAGTCCTCGTTGAATTCTATGCAAATTGGTGTGGCCCGTGCAGGATGGTACACCGAGTCATTGACGAGGTTGCAACAGAGTATGCTGGAAGACTCAAGTGCTTTGTACTCAACACAGACGCTGATATGCAAATTGCTGAAGAGTATGATATTAAGGCTGTACCAGTGGTTTTATTGTTTAAAAATGGAAAGAAATTTGATGCTGTAGTTGGCACCATGCCAAAGGAGTTTTATGTGTCTGCAATCGAGAGGATGCTCAATTGATGGATAAACTTTTGTTGTTACAGGTCATGTTGAATTTTGGTTAAAAGAATTGGTTATCTTGTCTGGCTGCTCGACATTACTGAGTTTTCTTTGTGTAAATACTTGATTTAATTTTTCTCGCAATAGCTAGGTGCTGACCTCAAGAGTCGTCTTTCATATAGTAATGAATGTTCGGTCTTCTATCCCGGATCTTCTTTGAAATGTATTGTTTACTTTAGGTACATGTTGAATTTGTATGTTTCTTTGGTACCTGATTTGAACAGCATCTGTTGTTCTGCAAGTACAATGTGATTTTATTAGTATTATGTGCTTATTTTCCCTATACTCAACCATGTTCCCTTGTTTTGTGACTCTTGTCTATTGATCAAGGATGTGTGTTTGACTAATACAATCACATGAATTCAAACTCTCATGTTCAACTGAGAAACTATTATGAATAAGGATTTAGACATAACTGAACAAAAGAACAATATAGCATGATGTGATATTAATAATTAAATAGGTATTAGTAGTAAATTAGTGGTTAGTATAGTTGTTTTCAGGGCTTGAACTATAAACATCTTTCTTAAAACTTCTGTGTTCTTTAGTACGCAAACTGATCTAACCAACCTTAATTACCCTGTAAAGCTTACAAGGGTGGCCATTCTATCACAACCTAATAATTAGAGAATCCAAAATTACTTGCGATATATATATATATATATATATATATATATATATATATATATATATATATATATATATATATATATATATATATATATATATATATATATATATATAAACAGTTTAAATAAATTAGTACTCAAGTTCATCAAACTAGAAGTGTAAGAGACGAGTTGACTAGAGTCGACGTTGAACCACCCTCTAGATCGCGCCTTCCCTTGTCTTGCCCAACTATCTGAGGCCTTTTCCAGATGGTCCACGCCCAAGAGACATTTTCGACATTAGGATCTGAAGGTGTGAGAAATATAAGAAAGAGGGGGTTTGAATTGGGTTGCATCAAATATATTATTTTCGCAACTCAAATACAAATTTAACAAGTGAAATAAAAATAGACGAACACAATTATTTTTATCCCGGATCACTGTAAACTAAGTTACTCCAGTACACCCCGCAAGGTGATTTGTCTTATACACAAGGACTTAATCCATTATAATTAACCAGATTTCAGATAACTATAATAAGTCTGATCAACCCTATTGGTACCCCTAATAAGTCCGTTGATCTTTATTACAAATCCACTATGACTACAATTAAAGTCTTCTTGAGAATCTAGACTACACAGAGTCTCTCAAAGAACCTAACAACTACAATTGATTACAAAGATGTGTATACAAAGATGCTTATGCTTCCACATTCATCTCATAAACTTTAAGTTGTCTTGAAGCATAAGCTACTACATTCTTATGCTGCATAAGCACACCATCTAAATCCATCTTTGAAGCATCATAAAACACCATAAAGGATTCACTAGAATATGGTAGAATCAAAACTGAAGTTAGTGTCAATCTATTCTTCAACAATTGGAAAGTCCCTTCACAATAAGCATCTAACACATAAGATTGACTGTTTCAAGTTAACTGAGTTAAATGAAAAGCTAACCTCAAAAAGCCTTATATAAACCTCTTGTAGTAGCCAGCCAAATTCAAAAAACTTATAACCTTAATAACAGATTTAAGAACCTCCCACTGCAACATTGTGTCCACTTTAGATAAATCGACTGCTATACTACTGGAAATCACATGCCTGAGAAAACTCACTTCTTGTAACCAAAAATCACACTTGGATAACTTGGCATATAACTTCTTCTCTCATCAAACCTCTAACACCACTCATAGATGTCCTGCATGCTCTTCGTCTGTCTTAGAATTGTCGCATCTCAAAAAATATCTAACACGAAGGAGGCAAAGAACATTCGCCATCAATATTATTTATTCCATCGGAGGAAAGGAAACACTGAGTAAACCCAAAGAAGGGAAAGAACATGGTCTCGCGACCAAGAGAAAGGATAAGGAAGTTGTTCTGGACTGGGTCGGGCTGGTCCAAAAGCAACGATAAAGGCCCAATCCAAACGGACTTGCTAGGGGTCACGCCGACCTAAGAACCATAGCTATGCCTGACATATGTCTCTGGGCGACATCCCCGTCCTCGTGCTATCCAACTCGACCTCAGCTCGAACACTTCTTCAGCAGTAGACACGGTCCACTGCACTCTCAACGGGGCCCCGAAAAGACCGCGTCCTTGTCCGCCCGCACTTCACGCAGGATATCCAGGAAGGGGACCACGTGCGGGTCCCCACTACGCACGTAGAACCTGGCAGTTCCTCCATTGGACCAAACCTGCCTGGCTCAATGAAGGAACCTTGGCCCAGCGCTGGGGGCTATAAATACCCTCTGTTTCCAGAGGGTCAGGTATTCATTCTATCACATATACTCACTTTGCCTGCTAGTACTCTTACTTACTTCAGCATCGGAGTGCCTTGCAGGTATCCCCCCCACCTCGTTCAAAACTTCAGCTCGGAGCCAGCCGTGACGGTCCAAGTCTGATCAGGTCAGATCAGTGGCGCCGTCTGTGGGAAACTAGCTTCCTCGTCTTACAAAACTCAAAGACCAAAGCTCAAATTCAACTACCGTTGTCATGGCTGGTCAAGCTCGCGATGAGCAGAACGTCCGTGTCGTCGATACTAATAACGACACCGCGAACAAAAACGGACACCTTGATAACGCCGGCAACCCCGGCCACAACACCATTCCTGCGACAACAGCCCCCGGAACTTCCAGCTACAGGGACGGAGCTACTGCATCATCTTCCTCGGTCCCTCCACCACTCGAAGACAACTCGGCGGCCCTCGCACACTACAGAGTTGCCCGGTTCCAGGAAGTCCCCGTCCCCGCCGGGGCGGATGCCACAACTCAAGCGCTGTTCACAGCGATTAATCAGACAGACTATCTCATCTTCGCCCAAGGAGAGAGACTGAGGGCGCTTGAAGACGAGCGAAGACCCCCGAGGAGACATCAGAGACCTCATACTCCCCCTCCTCGAGTGACTGAAGCTCGACATCCATCTCCCCCGCGGAGACATTACAGGGAGATCTCTCGAAGCCAATCTCCCCGGCCAAAAGAGAAACGGCCTCATCTGGAGAGGCCCCCCATCATTCAAACCGGAGAACCTTCTCGTGACCCGGCGAGACAAGAAATAAGACACTCCGGAGACGGACGTGTAAAATTCAACCACCGAGCATCCCGCTCGAGAGAGACACAGCACGACCTGGACCGTCGTGCCAGGCAGTATTACAGGTCCCCATCTTTATCTCCGGAGAGAAGCGACAAGGACGACCCCCGCAGTCCCCTGTCGCAGGCTATTATGGAAGCACCCATCCCCCCGGGCATGGAGAAGCCCCCTCACCTGAAGGAGTACGATGGAGTCGCGGACCCGGTCGACCACATAGACGGGTTCGAGGCTATGCTTCATTATCACAATGTCGGGGGTCCCATCAAGTGCTGTCTATTCCCCACGACTCTCAGGAAGGCGACAATGGACTGGTACAAAGGACTCGCCCCGGGCTCAATCACCTCGTGGCGGAACCTGAAGAACCAGTTCATCAGTTCCTTCACAGCTTCTCGGCGGCATTCGAAGACCGAGGCGGCTCTCGAGGCCATCATCCAAAGACAGGATGAAACCTTGAGGGAATTCATCAACCGCTTCAACCGGGAAGCAATACAGGTCCCCTGTGCGGACCATATGAAGAAATATTTGCTGGAGAGAGGACTCCTCCCCGGCACGGAATTCAGAAAGGCCGTGGGTATCGAGCCACCTCGGACATTCGATGCCCTCCTCGAAAAGGCTCGAGCATACATGGACTACGAGGAGAGGGAAGCGGCTAACAGGGCCCGAGATCCCAGGACTCGTGGTCTCAGCAGCAGCTCATGCCAAGAAGCCCCTCCTCGGCGAACCGGGGAGAAAAGGAAGGAAGACAGACCCCGGGAGGTCCGGGAACAAAGAGGACCTTCGGGGCGGTTCACCGAGTACATCCCGCTCACAGCTTCCCGCGAGCGCATTCTGGCGGAGTGTCCCAACACTGATTTCAAGGACGGCGGTGTCAAATGTCCCCGACCCGCTCCCGCCAAGCCCGGAGCAGACAAAAACAAATATTGTCAGTACCATAGGAGCCATGGTCATCTGACTGAGGATTGCGTCCATCTCAAGGACGCCATCGAAACCCTCATCAAGGGAGGGAGGCTCGCGCAATACCGGCGGAACGATGCTCCCCGCCGTGACACCCAAGAAACTAGAGAGCCGGAGGAGGATGTCCGACCATCTGACGAGTCGGTCCCTATCCAAACCGCCCTCTGTGACCAGGCCCGAGGACTTCGACTTCCCCGAGCACCTGCAGGAGCCGCTCACAACGCACAGCAGGTGGGAATATTTCCCCTCCGCCCTGGTCATCAACGGCGGCGGGTTCAACGACTTGACCATCAATTCAGCCAAGAGGAAGCTGGACGAGCTGGTTGACGCGGCTCCCCTGCAAACAGTGACGTTCGAAAGGGTGAAGGGCAGGTCAGAGCCCATCACCTTCTACCTAGAAGAGCTCCCCGGCGGAGCCCCGAACGCGGTCATCCCCTTACTGATAAGGGCAAGAATGGCCAATTTCGATGTACATCGCATCCTAGTCGACGAAGGGAGCTCCGTCGACGTCATGTACAGCCAACTGTTCCGAACCCTACAGCTGGACGACTCACATCTCTTGCCGTATGTAGGGTCGGACTTACAAGGTTTCAACGGCTCGACCTCTAAACCTTGGGGATATGTCGAGCTTCTGGTTACGTTCGGTGAAGGGACGGCTACAAGACAAGTCAAAGTACGCTTCCTAGTCATCAACTGCCCGTCTCTATACAACTGCATCTTGGGGAGACCGACACTGGCAGAGCTGACGGCGGTACCCTCGACCGTCCACCTGAAGATGAAGTTCTACACCAAGAGGGCACGAGTAGCTACTA